AAGAAAATGCTACAAATGAATGAATAATAATGAAATCAAAACACATTCTAGAAATTGGATGACATCACATGGTTGTATTTAATGGGTACTAACAATTAGCAAAATGAATCAGTACGGATTCGAAATAAACAGACAGTTTTGAATAAGAATATTTACAGTGAATAGGATACAGAATGGGGACTAATAGTTAAAAGAAGGTAGTAATTTTCTTACAAATAAGAAAATCTATAAAAACATATAATAAATACATGGATGTTCTCAATCAAAATAACATTATAATAAAAGTTAGATGTTACAAATTACAAGATATTTGATGAGAACAATGTCTACTGAATATTTATAAGTAGTATATTGTGATACATAATACGAAATTATCTAGTTGGTAATGGAGCTAGAAAATACAAAACAAGATTAGTAGATACTATTCTGCCAAAATGTTTTATTTTCATGAGAACATTCTTATCATCCCCATCCCCCTCAAATATTTGACACATTGATACTAAAAAGAGACTAAAGTAAACAATAAATAAAAATGACCTACAATTAGCGAATTTTGTTTATCGTAGCTTCTAGAATTTTTGTAAGTAATGTTAAGAATATGATATTCTAAGAATATGTTTTGTTGTTTTATTTCATATTAACGTCTAAAAGTTTATTTAGGTTATTTCGTTGAATGATCTAATCAATGTTTTGAGTGAATCATAGTTAATTGTCACAAAATTAGTGTACATTTTACGCTAATATTTATATATTTGCTTCAGTTAGAAAATAAGATATACGTTTTCAAACAATTTTGTTATGAGGGTTTGCAGAAAGATGTTCACTAATAGATTATCATGAGTCGATTGAAGCTAGACCACCATGAAAAACCTGGAAGCACTGGACGGCCGTTTCATCCTAGTATGGGACTCTTCAGCAGTGCGCATCCATGGTCCCGCCTCCCGCGACATTCGAACCCAGGATCTACTGGTTTCGCGCGCGAGCGCCTAACCATTAGGCCACTGAGCCGGTATCCAACGGTGTAAATGTCTAACTTAAACCAATCCACGAAGTTGCGCCACCGGGAGGGATTGTGGTTGCGCGCTGCTGAGGAGTCCCATACTAGGACGAAACGGCCGTCCAGTGCTTCCAGGTTTTCCATGGTGGTCTAGCTTCAATTGACTCGTGATTTCAAACAGTGAGATTTCTAAAAATCTCCACAAAACTCATTCTGATACTAATAGATTAGTTTTATCATATACTGATGTTAATTATATAATCAATGTCAATTAAGCAATAGTGTACATTTGAATTAACTTGATGTATATTGGTAACTCTTATAGTAACTTGATCTTGCACTTCAATAATTATGAAATGTATCGATGGACATGTTCAGCTTGTTTGTTTATTTGTATTAGAAACGTTTGAGGGAGTATACTTTTTATAATTTCTTTAACTAACAAGTTAATTTTAATAGTTGAGATCATGAGTCAATTGAAGCTAGATCACCGTGGAAAACCTGAAAGAATTAGACGGTCTTTTCGTCCTAGTATGGGACTCCTCAGCAGTGCGTCCACGATCACGCCTCGCGAGATTCGAACCTGGACCTATCCGGCTCGCGCTCCAGCGCTTTATCATTAGACCACTGAGCCTGCATCCAACGGTGTTGATGTCTAACTTCAATCAACCCACGGAACTGAGCGATACATCCATCATTGTCCTCAGTGAGTTATTATCTCATAACAGACCCGGTTGAACTCCACTGGTCATGTATTCACTTTGGACTATTGTATTATTATGATTCAAGACAAGTATTATTCAAGGATAGGGGAAGTGAGTACATCTCATTCAGTTGAGATATTATAAGACACAGTTACCACTATAAAATAATCAGTAATATTTGTTAAATCATGATTATATCTACTGAAAATTTTTTATTTAACTAATGTTGTGGTGTATGCTATTTATGTCGACAGATATAAATAGTATGTAACACCTATCGGAACTCGAATGCCTGTCAAAAGGAGGCTGGAAAGATTGAAGTGAAGAAAACAGAGACGGAAACACAAGGGAATTGAGAATTGAAAGAATCATGAAGGATGTAGAGAACAATTGATGGAAGATATACAAATGAAGTATTTAATGTATGGTTTTTAGATTTTTCGAAAGAACTTTATAATATTGTGATAAACAATAAATTGTTATTTTCCACTTGAGTTATCGTTCACTACAATATTATTACAATAAACAAATGTGTGGTCTTTCTTCCTCTCAGAAAAGTAAACAAAAAAAAACAATACATAAAATACTTAGCGGTTCTTTAAAATCTAACACTTGTTATTGTTAACATAAAAGAATAATCCATCAAGCCGTAGATTACATTTTGATATAAAGATGAGTTTATCATTTACTTTAATAAAACACATCACATAAACAATATGTTTAGTTAATCAGTTAGTTTCTTTATAATTTAAAAGCCGACATTGAAATTTAGCTTTGAAATTAGTGGTATGATTAAAGTTTATGCATAAAACAGTATTAATTGTATACATAAGTGGATTTTAATGCAATGATATTTGTTACCAAAACTATTAGTATAAGAATAGCAGTTCAAATTCGAATTTAGCTTTTTAATAAAACTTTTTGATAATAAATTTTGCCAAATACACATTATGTAGTGAATCATTTAGTTTATAATTATAAAAATAGTAATATTCTTTGAGAAGTTTGCATACTACATTAGAAAATAACTATTGTTAACTAATGTCGAAGATGAGTTTTTGAGATTCAGTAACTGGGTAGTATCATGCACTAAATGAGACCCAAATTCGTATTGGGCCATATATACACTGTTGGTATTCACTAGCTATTCATTTTTAAATAGACTGATCATTAAATATAGATTATAGTGATTACTTACTTGTTTGACACTATTGTATACACTATACATCACTTCGTTAGACTATATTGTCATGTTAATCCTTTGTTAATAATATGAAAAATCAGGAACCTGAAATGTTTTGAAGTATAAGTCATTGTTATAAATGAACGGGCTCGATTTGGTACAAAGCCTTATAAAGGAAACGACCACCTACGTATGTTGAAATGACTAATATGTAATAATTCAATGAATTGGATTGTAGGTGAGATAAAATGGCGAATATTCTAATCAAAATAAGTTCAAGCAATGTAAATTGAAATAAATAGTACTATAATTATTGATGATCCCAAATGTTCGATTGGAAATTATGCAATTCATGAATTCAGCATAAGACAGTAGAAAGTTAATTGTTTGGTTATAGGTCCATTGAATTACGTAAGTTGAAGTCGAATTGTTTACACTTTTAATTACATCTATCAGCAAGAATGAATTCATAGAATATCAGTTTATATTACTTTACTTCACAAGAGCAGTTGAATCAATAAATATAAAACTAGCAACTAAATTATGCAATTTAGTTTTAGAGTCTTTGTCACCACTACATTCACTCTGTTGAGTTAAAGGTGTATCACCATTAAATCTTGTGAGGGTAAATAGTAACATCTTGTCAATAGCTTCTTCATATATTTTTTCTAGTCTGGTGATGAGGTGTTTGATTAATAAATTTCGAACATAATACAAATTATTCAGTATCTTGCTAACTACTTCTATGGAGCAAAAAATCACCAATCTTCATTAGATCACTTTGCATTAGAGGGGTAAAAAAAACTAAGAAAACGTCTATGTACCCCCGGTCAAGTGCGCTTCTTATTCATATTTATTCTTATGAACTCCCATATCTACAGAAAAGCCTTATAGTTAAACCACTTAGTTAAGAGCAAAAAACTTAATCTAATATCTAAACCTGAGGTACAAATCTTCCCCATCATTTTAATTAGAATGATTGACGAGAAATAGAGTGAAACAAATGGATTAAAAGCAATCAGCAGTGCTGTCACAAGACATTTTGACACGAAAAATGAAGTGAGTACACTGAAGTCCTTCAAGGTGATTAACAAACAACCAAACTCCAACCTTTTGAAATTTTCCGAAGCGAGATCAATTAAATATCTGAAACCAGATCTATATACCTAAAAAGAGGCAGCAATAAATCTTCTTTTGCCCTGGTAACATTAAACCCCTTTTTATTTATTACGTCATTCATTATTTCAACTGTTTCTGAATTCTAAATAACATCATTGTCATTTTTCATCATTTCATAACTGACTGGTTTCAATTCATATCTTTCTTTATTACTATTAATCTATTGTCACTTGCTTGATTACGTAATCATCTAATGTTTGTTAACTTCATGAGTTCTAATCACTATTTCAATGTTCTAGAACTTTCCCTCCCAAACTTTATTTGCCCAAAACAAAATTTTTATGGTCTTATTAAATCTATTGAAATCTTTGCTATATCATGATATATCTATGATCACCCTCGTATGTATAAGTATGTCAATATGTGCAATAACGTTGATTTTAAATATTATACGTTGTAAGCAACTGATGAGAATCTAACGAAATAAAATGGATTCATATTATTCTGCACCAAACTTTGTTCTTTCTCTATTGAAGATAATAAATGGAACTATATGGATGAAATATTTAATTTCAATTTAACAATTTTAAAAAAGATCACTGTTTTTGTTTAATGAAGATAATGTTACATGTTCAAGTATAACCTCAATAATTTTTCATGACATTTAAATATGTTACTAATATATAAATTTATAAAGTATGGAAAAACATGATGATGAACAGTTTCAATATCTTTTCTAATTATTCTTACTTTAAATTATTAACGCGCGTTTTTTTTGTTTAGAACACCACGCTACAGACTTTGATCATTATTAAAATAAATTGTTGACTAATTTTTAAATGAAATGAATTAACTATTAGATCCATTTCAGTAAGAGAATTTTGTTAGTTGAAAATTGGATCATACTATTTTATCATTTAAATGAGTAAAGGTTATTTATTGATACCGTAATTTCATTATAGAACATATATAAATACGTTAGTGGCATTTTAACTCCACTCTTTTAAATACAATCAATTAATGTTGGTTACTATCTTATTCATATTTTGTATTTCCTACACTTCTGATGCATTTAAAATGACAAAAGTTGAAGTAAATTTTGGAATTTTCTTAGAATTAATAATAATAACAAAATTATGTATAATATTCATTCTTCTTTTTAATGATTGATTTATTAATTGTTAGTTTTGATCATTTGTAAGGTAAATTGATCATTTCTGAGTATATTCCAATCATAAATATAGTTCTGCGGAGTATGGGAGTGGGAAACGTAAATATTTAAATTTTCTTTTGCGAATAATTTGTAACGTAAATTACTGTGAAATAGGTTAATGTTTAATTTTAAGCTACAAGTCAAAACATTTCGCAAATGTCTTTCATGTCTTTCTGGGATCACTGCACGGTTGAAGTTAGACATTGACACCGTTGGATGCTGGCTCGGTGGTTCAGAGGTTAAGCGATCGCGCGCGAGACTGAAAGGTCCTGGGTTTGAATCTCACGAGGTGGGATCGCAGGTGTTTACTGCTGAGAAGTCCCATACTAGGACGAAACGACCGTCCAATTCTTTCAGGTTTTCCATGTTGATCTAGCTTTAATTGACTCATGAATTCAACTATTAAGAGAGATTAGTTCACATTGTGATTTGTAATTACTGAATTGTGTATGGTTAATACTTATAGATGAATAAATGGTTCACAGAAATTCAGAAACGGGAAAGAAATTAATTTAACTTTTCTAAATGCTCATAGATATCTATAATGAAAGAGTAATATATTAAGCTAAAAAAAGTAGTCTTTAGGTATAAAATATATTGGGAGTATTGAGAAATAGATTATTCTAAAGATTGTATTGGTACATGAACCATATAAATAAATCTCATACATACTATGGTCACTCCGCTAATGATATTTGTGATGTATTTTAACATTTTAATTTGAAAGTGTGTAGCCTATTTTATATTTAGGAGACAGTAAATGTTTCCTACGTTTTTGATCTTTGTTCAAGGAAAATAACTGTGGGATGCGAAACCTTACTTGGGGTAAGTATATATTTTATAATTTCGTGATCATAGTGATATGTTGGGGCACTTTATGTTTATTTATTATTGATATCATTATTACTTATAAATGACTTGTTATGTTTTGACTTAGCGCCTGAATAATATTGAAATTTAACATTATTAACCATTAAGAGTTTATCAGTTCTGTGTTGAACATTAATCTTTATATGGTTAGCTTTACCTCTTTTGAGGGAGATGAATTGGTATTGTGAAATGTCAGGGAAGATTTGTAACTTAAGAGAGTGATTTTAATAGAAAAATGTCACTAAAATTTCTTTCTTCTATCTATAAATTATAAACATGTAAAGTAATTGGTAATAAGCGTGTTCATTCGAAGCAAACACCAACTAATACTCAAACTCGTTTTTATTTTAAATGATTTTATCTTCAAACCATGTTAAAATAATGAGATAAACGATTTTTTTGATAAAATCATCATACTGGTCACTAATTTTACATTAGTTGATGGATTGCCATGGTTATACTTATGTTTACTTGATAAATTGTATTCAAATGGTCACCGAAAGGTTTTATTCAATTTATCTTTCATTTAATTCGTAAATAAATATGATTCCCTTAGACAGTGGTTTACTGGGTTAAAGTGTTGTGTTTGGCTTCCTTAGTTTTCACATTTTTTTATTACAAATAAATATGTATTTTGAATATGGTGTTTTCATTACATTCACGTGTACACATCGATTTTTAATATAGCATACTTAACAAAGGAAACATTTACAGCAGGTTATCTTATTTATAGCTGCACAATAATATAAATTATGTATTATTTATTGTTTATTGCATCATAAATTTACGGACAGAATGCTTGTTTAATGGTAGAAATATTGATGACGTTTCGTTAAATTGTGATCTGTTGCACCATAGCAGTGTGGTACAAAGACTGATTGTCTTGAAATGGATGTTTGACAAGGAACAAAAGACATAACTGATTGACCTCGTTTTCTGATAAACCATGGTAAGAGATGCATTGGATTCGACGGAGATGTGAACTCAATTAAAAGCTAATTTCTCAGGTTAACAAGCAGTACTATAAGGTGAGTCTCAATCGAAAGGGCTGGTAATGATTTCATATACATGACTAGCACACTTTGTGTTAAAGAGCGATTTTCTTATAAGCACCTAAATTTAATCATATTACCAAATTTTGTTACAATACAGAATGTGAATTTTGTCTATCAGGATGTAGTTTAGCACGCTATTTTGTGAATGATTTCTATTGGCGTGATATATACATGTTGGGTGCTGAAAAACTGTGTGCATTCATCTCTTCTGAAAAAATACAAAAAATTGTAAGTTGTACTCACTATAAATATTTATGATGACTTTTATCATTATGAATGTAATAAGACGATAATTCATTTTAAGTGTACTTGATACTAGACATAATGGTCCGATCATTAATGGGCTCATAGTGAGCTAGGGAGTCCCAAACTAAGACTAAGTAGCTATTCGCTGAATACTACTTCACCATTTATATTTACTTATAAACACCCTAGACATATAAATGAGCTATTCAGTTTAAATTTTGATATTTAATATTTAAAACGTTTATAAAAATATGTTTAAACATAACTTGGGAAGGGTGACAAAGTTCAATAGTCCATCAGGACTTTCATGAATAATGCTTTTGTGAATGAGGATAAATTAAGTCATTTAGCATTTTGGCTAGAAGTCTAGCTTTTCTAAAATATCAAAATGTTTCTACAAATTAATTCATCCAGTTTGAAGTTGTTCAGTAAAATTTTTAATATTTTTTCCTTTTTTAAATACTTTCTGTTTAGTGTGACAAATACACTTCGAAGTACTTACCAGAGATTTTGGATGCAATAGGATCAGTATTCGTACCTGAAGAAATTTGTTTGGTAATGATATTTCTTGAGACTTTTATACGTTTATTATCTTAGCCCTAAAAACATTCAAACTGAATATTTATGCTAATAAATTGCCCAATAGTTCATATCACGCAACTATAAGGTATTATTCATAAACACAAAAAAAATCTATGTGTTACTTGTATGCTATCAGTTATATTTCCAAAGTATCACTCGTATAATGTGGAACATCCACACAAGTAATTCTCTATTAATACGTGGTTTATTGATTAAAGACAGTACACTGGTTTATGAGGCTGTAAAGTTTGATTAATTAGGATGAGTGTTGATTGTGCTACGGATGCCTAGACGCCTATCTACACTAGATATTGTGACAGTATACAGTAATAGTATAGATAGTAACAGTAATAAACACTAAATAACTTGATCTCAATCTATTCACGATCTAAAAGAAATAACGAACGTCTGTATGATAAATTTAGTCTTATTTTGAAGTTTCAGTTGGCTCATATTAAAAATCAAATTTTCATGTAACCTTATTCGAGTAGAAACATGTTTCGAAATGTAGAAAGCTATGACTTGTTAGCACTTTGAAAGAATATGTAGTTAATATTTTAGTTGGGATGTGACCTTGCTTTTTTCTTTCTTCTCTACTCTATGAACGATATTTGATTCAGTGTAAATATCGATTACACTGTCAACGCTGTATACTTGAGAGATAATAAATGGAGACATGTTGAAATCGTTTTGAATATATTCTACTCTATTTAAATGGGGATATCTTTATTGAATATGCTTTGTCCCCAAATCCAATCTTTATTTCGTGTATATAATTAGGGTAATTTTCGTTCAGTCAACTTCAAGTATTTCGTTGTACTAAATTATTCATAATGAAGTGTCATCATCAACCTCCAGTGTATTTCAGCTGTAATTAGTTATTTGATTCGTAGTCCATTTTATTGTTTGATTATTTAATTATGATTTTATATTTAGTGATAATTATTTAGTTGATAAAAATTTGTAATTAATAATCATTCAATTGGTATGCAACCGAATTAAATTGATCTCGTCCAGTAGATCTTCTTGACAAGATTGGTCTTTTGAAGAAGTAGTGATTGGAAAAGATAATGGAGCTGTTACCCATAGTACCATAATTATCGTTGAAATTGTAGCAGGATATCTTGCATTACACATTTATTCAATTTTGGTGGAGTTCTGTTTTCTGAGCTGGATAATTTGATCGTGTTGCTTTCGTCGTTATTCCGAACGACATCATCAGCACAAACGTCTGCTTGAAGTTTTTTCTATACTCCATCAAAATCATCCACCTGAGCTACAAATCTCCACCATATCACATTTAACCACAAAAAATCAATTAACATATTTGTTAATCTTTTGTTTCCAAAATTCATATCTAATTGCAACCAGTATAGACATGAGTTAAATATCACATAATTTTATAAGATAAAGTTTTGTTAAACAATCTACTGAGCTAATATTAACAATTATGTTTTACAAGTACCTGAATTCATTTAAGGTTCTCTGATATGATCATTCTCAATAATTTCTTAAATGACATAAGGTTGAATTTGTTGCGGTACAGCTAATGATTTGCTTTGTAAATAGGTAAAACAGATAAATGGTCATTAACAGAATGAAGATTTGGGAAGATTGTAGTAATTTTGATAGTTGAATACATGATTCATTGTAATCTAAACCATCATCGAAATCTTGAAAACACTGGATGGCCGTTTTGTCCTAGTATTAAACTCATGAATTTAATTTTAAAAAAATAAGTGATTTTTAGTACTTGAATTTCGTTGAGAACGTGTAATATGAAAGTCGAACTCAGATGACTCATAATGAAGAAGTCCAGAATTGTACGTAAATGTGCATATAATACAGTATGAAAATAAATATCAGTGAAACATTTAAATAATAAAATTAGTCAAATCATTATTACAAGTACACAAACTCGAGTTGATTTGTGATGTATGCTACTTATGTCTACAGATATAAGTAGTATGTAACACCTATCGGAACTCGAATGCCTGTCAAAAAAAGGCTGGAAAGATTGAAGTGAAGAAAACAGAAACGGAAACACAAGGGAATTGAGAATTGAAAGAATCATAAAGGATGTAGAGAACAATTGATGGAAGATATGCAAATGAAGTATTTAATGCATGGTTTTTAGATTTTTCGAAAGAACTTTATAATATTGTGATAAACAATAAATTGTTATTTTCCACTTGAGTTATCGTTCACTTTAGATACAACAGAACTAATGATTATAAAAATTCATCGATGAAAGTCTAGGTAAATTATCAGGTTATACCGTTATCTCGGTAACATCCAATAATTTATTTCCAAACCCTTTTATTGATAACTTATCATTTCACAAATCTGTTGATTGAATTTTAATTTAAAGAAATGAAGATTTTTAAAAAAATTGATCATGGCGCTATTATAGATTGATTAGTTGGAAAACAATATTATCTAATAAAATGAAAATGTTTTACCACAGATAATGAATAATTCATGTAATTTACAATTTACATTTGTAGGACTTCAATATATGCAATTTTACTGAGATTAAGATGTTTACTATCCAAAAAAGTAAGCGTTTATATTAATTTTTTTTTAAATAAATCGATAGTTTTTGCACAAGATATTAATGAACATTCGATATTCCATTATCGTATATATCGAGGATAGTTTTGGCCAAAGTAATTCAGTGTATGCGCCTGTGATTGTATTATTGAATAATTTCAAGATTTTCAGTATTAAAGGGCAATTCGATTTTACTGATGATTGTCAGTCAACAGGACTGTAACGTTTCATAATACATTTATAAAAGTAATTTGTTTGTAAACTGTAATAATTTCCGTGTATGCAACATAAAACATGAAATCCTACAGAACAGTTTCATACACATAGTTCCCTTTATCATTTTGAAAAGAGCAAGAACAAAGATTCTAGCAGAATAGCATGAATTCATTTTATTTCGTAGGTTCTCATCAGCTGCTTACAACCTGTGATATTTAAAAATCATAATTACATAATGGGTTTAAATTGCTTACTGAATATTGTAAATATGTACCTAATGTGAAAGAATATTCTACACCACTAATTGTGACAACAGTTCAAAAGGGGGTTAGAAACAATTGATTACATAATGAGTAAACATTGATAGGAATACAGTGAGTAGAGTTCAGTTGAAAGATTATTAATTTGAAAGATAGTTGAAAAAATAAAATCAACGATGTAATAAATACAAAAGAAAAAGAAAACAATTTAAGGTGCAGAGAAAAAATATTTGTCACCAAGGCAAGGAAAGATTAACAACCGTCTCCTTTTGAACACATAGGTCAGGTTTTTGACGCCTGATGGCAACGGCTTCAGCAAACTTCAGAAGACTGGAGTTTGGCTGCTTACTAATCACCCTAAAGGATTGTAAGGTATCTACTTGATGTCCTGTATCAAGGAGATGTTTGGTGGTTGCACTGTTCAGAGTCTTTCTTTCTCTTGTTCTAAGACTTTTTGGAACATGTTCAAAAAATCTAAGATATGCTCTCCTTTCAGTTCGGCCTATGTATCTGCTTTAGCAGGTACACGTAAATTTATAAATACAGTTGGCGGTAACATGAAAGGGGTGCTTGTCGACCTTTGATTGGGTTATTGAACATGTTGTTTTATAGAAAATTGAACGTTTAGCAGCCGGATAAGTTCTGGCTAGCGCAGTGTTCAGTCTTCTGTTGATTATTTGTGCGACGTTATCACCTTTAAAGTTAAGATTTATATATACTGGCTTTTTATTGACCGTAGTTATTTCCGTCTTGTTTTCTTTGGGCTTTTCAGGAATCGAGAACCAATCAGCTATAATGTTAAAAATGTTGGTGCCCTTTCGTTTGTATTCATCAAAATGATGTGTTTGAGTTTATTAAATAACTAGACTTTATGATTAGTGAAGTTAGAAATCTATACTCATGGTGCTGAATATTTATTTTACTGAAAACATTTACGTTTTTTATTATCAACGTTAATGATTGTTTCATCGTGATCTAACTTAGTAAACTGAAAACTATTCACAAAAAACCAAGGGCTGGTTGTTACACAAAACAAATCAATTAGATATTAAAATGTCACTGAACAATTTATTTTTCACTATATAATTAAGCTGGTGTTTATATTTACTATGAGGTGAAATACGAATCCTTGTAAAGGATCTTTTTACAATTAATTAAGTGACTCAGTGATAAGCGTTGAAATGATGGAAAGTTTATTGAATTACGATACTTTGAAAAAAAAGGTTCAGCGAAACTGCCACCTCAAACAGTCTTCCAACCGATTATATTGGTCAGTTTCAATGATAAGACATCAAGTTTCTAGTTTAACGGAAGGATTTTAATGATTTATTGTGCTTTCTGAGATGGGTTGTCTATTCATCGATTTGGGTAATATAATCATCAGGAATTCCAATAGTTTATTTCATTTGTAGGGTTTGTTGATAGTACTGTCTAGAAAGATAATGAAAGTTTCACACTTAAGTAACCTATCACAGTGAGCACAAGACTTATAATGGACATCGACATATTTTGTATAGTACTATCGAAAATGATTGATATTTATATTCCAGAAACCAAAGAAATAATAAACTTTTCATTAATGATTAGTTTTTAAATAAGATAGAATATACTGAACAAAATGTCTCGTTTTACTGATTGTCGTTAGTAGAATATTTCATTTCTACTAAACTCAGTGCAAATAACTAGTATTTCTGTTAAATGCAATCAACTCTGTTATTGATACTTTAATGGTATATCAAAGTTCAACGTTTTTCCTTGAAGGAAAAGCTAAAAGTATTTATATATACTGTTTTAGGTGAGGCCATAAGATCTCCGGCTCTAGATTATGTTTAAATTTCATTATCACTATCTCATCAGTTTCTGTTTTCTCAGAGAATACTCATATTTGGCTAAGGTAATCATCATGTCAACCTATTTAAAGAGTTTAGGATAATGTAATAGTTTTCACTATCCCAAAAGAACTAAGATTTTTTCGTTTCTAATGTTTTTTTTCTTTACAGATAACAAAATCTGAACATTTTTGCTCTACCTAATACTCTTTAAGTGTTATTAAATTTTAGAATGTACACAACATAAATTATGCTATGATATATTTGGTCTTTATGTTTTGAGTCATCATTTTAATACTAACTAGATGTATTAGTTACTATAATTATCGACGATTGTGACCTTTTGTTTGTTAACAAACTGCTTTGACTAGAATAAACTATCTTTCCTTGTGATTATCCAGTTTTTAACTTCAAGCTGATAAATGAATGTTTGAAATTTCAAACACTAGAGTAATATAAAAATCTTTGATGATCAAATATGTCAGTATAGATAGAAAGTTTATCATTCAATATGAATTAATCTCCAACTAAGAAAATAACTTTTAAAAAAAATTCATTCCAAATTCAAATATATTCTTAGAATTAGATTTTCGACTTCATACATTTCGATCACAAGTGAAAAAACGTTAATAATTGACAATATGAACGTTAGATTATTGAGGAAGACATTGAACAAAAGCAAATTGCATATTAAACTCTAAATAACTTGAATAAATAGGGATCTTTTTAAGAGTCTAGTAATGGATTATTATGTTTATAAAGTCTTCAATCTACGCTTGTAAATAACTATAAGTTAGTGTTGATAGAACGTTCACCAGTTTGTCTTCACTGTGTCAATTTAAGGCCATGGGTTTGAATGCGTTACTCAATCATTAAGATTCTAGTTAATTGTTAGTCCTCGTGAGGTTTACGACTAGGTCAATAAATCCGCCTATATATTATTGTGATTTGACTTACATGTAGGGATGTGATTTTCAAAAGAGACATGGTTCTTGTTTTACTCTAACACTTTAAACGTTGTGATGTGATTATCGGAAATACATTGTATATGAAAACAGTTTTTGGTTGAATAGTGCAACAAAAATTGGAATGCTGTGTTGGAAGCAAACTGTAATTTTGTTTGGTAAATACATAAGTCAAAGAATAATATATTCTGACTTTGGGAGCACTGGAAGTCTCTTGATAGAAAGAATAGGTTATTGAGCTGTATAAAGGAAAACTGTTTAATGTGACATTGGATTCTAACTATGAATATTTAAATAGAAGTATGAGTATTCATTACAGTTTTTAAAGTGTTAACATTAAGAGGCAACGCTTGTAAGTCACAAAGAGATAAAACACCAACTGGAATAGTTCCCTAGTCGTGAGCATTTAAAATCGTAATCTGTTTGCAAATAATTCTGAAATAAACAATAATTACTCAGGCTTTCATCGATGATGCTGACCAGGTATGTTAGAGATTCCACGTTTTCCAGAGCTTCTTCACGTGTTGTATTTGAGAGCCATACTTTCTCTTTCGTATACGTTGAGGCCTACTGATGCGAAGGATGCTGCTACACTAACTGTATTCACTTGCATTTGTTCGTGTGTATGGGATAGAAGGGCTAGGTCATCTGAGAAGTCCAAATCCTCTGATTGACTCCGAGCTGTCCATTTAGTTCCCTGTTTTCTCTCAGATGTCGAGGTCTTCGTAGTCCGGTCGGCCACCAGAAGAAAAAGGAAGGGGGAGAGTAAGCAGTCTGGTCTCATACCGGTCCTCACCTTGAATGCATTTGTCAGCCGTCCTTTATGCAAGATTTTGCAGTGTAGCCCACCGTATGAATTCCGGATGACGTTGAAGATTTGCTCAAGTACACCATAATGTCGTAGAAGTTTTCATAAAGTTCTCCAACCCACACTGTCAAACACCTTTTCATAGTCAGTGAAGTCGATGTATAGTGACGGTGATCCGTAGTGTCACGATTTGGTCTGTGCACGACTGATCATTACGGAATCCAGCCTGTTGATCTCGAAGTTGGGCATCTATTGAGTCTTTTATCTGGTTCAACAACGGTGTATTGAAAACGTTTCCTGGTACTGGTAGTAATGTGACGCTTCTGTAGTTCTCACGTTTGATGAGATCTCCTTTCTTTGTTATCGTGATGATGTGTCTTTTTTTACAGTCTGTCTGTAGCACTTGTTCTTCCTCTCAAATCTTCCTGAATAGAACGTGAAGCATGTTTGCAGTCACTTCAGTGCTTCAACTGGTATATTGTCAGGTCCTGCTGCTTTTCCGCTCTTTATTTGTCTGATGGCCATTCTGATTTCTTCCGACGTTTGTGGAGTGTCATCTATAGGAAGGTCTGTGTGTGCTGATTTGATAGCCAGTAGATTCAATGGAGCTGGTCTATTCAAGATTTCCTCGAAGTATTCTACTCGTCTGTTCCTCTGTTCTTGAATCTCAATGATTACTTTGCCTAGTATGTCCTTTGACCTGTTTACCTGTTTTACTATATTTCCCTGCTAGTTTCTTCGTTGTATCGTAAAGCTGTATCATATTTCCTTCTCTAGCGGCTTTTTCTGCCGTCGCTGCTAGTTCTTCGATGTATTTCTGCTTGCAAGCTATAGTACTCCTCTTCATTTGCTTGTTTGCTTCAGTGTATTCAGCTCGTGCCTTGACTTTCTTTGTTCTTGTTCGACTGTTGTTCATCGCTGTTTTCTTGTTCATCCTTTCTTGACCGGAGTACAGCAGCGTCTCTCTCATACGCAAATTTTGTTGTCCAGCTTTGGTCTAATGGATTTCGCTAATTCCGGTAATCACCAGGTTGTATCTCCTAATTTCCGTTGGTATTTGGCTTGTCCTCTCGGTCTATCACATTATCCAAGCATTCCGTGTACCTATAAAATTGTTGCTCTGGTTGTCAGAAGGAACATCGGCTTCCTGACTTCAAAAGAATCTCGACTTTCATCCTGAAGCGTCATAATTCTTTCTTCAACTGGGAAAGCAGAGTTTAAATGGTTTAATTTGTTTAATCTGGTTGGCGTATTTTTAGCAAGATTTTATTCTACAGATGGGGTTGCCGACTCCGTGTTTAGCCGTCCTCCTTTGACCAGGCTTGGGACCGGCAGTAACTCTAGAAGAGTTATAGGCGGAGTTGTGATCGTATAAGCCATCTATTTATTCATGAATCTTTTTATATTAATCTGAATCGAGAACAAATCGAGTAGTGTTCCGGATGACACATCTTCACTCTTTCGCTTGCTAGCCAGTCGGGTGATAGGATAGTTTTCATCTCTCCATCCAAAACCGTTAGTTTCTATTCAAACTCATACATTTCGTTGCCTCAAGATTGAACCAGTTGGCCTATCGTATCAAGGCCTTAACCTAGACCGAGACAGTGAGGATATGAAAAAGTTATTAATGTGTATATTTATTGTAAGGGCTCAATTAAGTGGTGAAATTAACCAGATAACAGTGTTGGTGGAAACTGACTGATCAGTTAATAAACCGAATCGAGAATATAAACTAAATGGATGATGTATTTTCTATGAAAAAATACACATTTACACATATAAATAAAATATTTTGCGGATCTCTTGACAAAAATAAGTTCGTTTCTTTAGTAACAATTCTGATGTCCCATTCTTCAGCAGTATTTTTCCGAAGGTCTTTAATGAATGATATTCGTCTCACTTTGCTATTGTACATAGGGCTGAACATCATGACATGATGCAGAAAGAAAACAGTCAGAAAATACATGAAAACTTCCAATTCTATACTGTATAAAGATTAGTTTTAAACAGTTTTTTTCAAAGTTAGTTTTTTGTTTAACATGTAAATTTCGTATTTAGTTTACAACAATTCGGAGAACAAACACCTTTGGTTGAACTGTGATTAAAAAAGAATAAAAAATGTGTCATTTGTGTTTGACTGAGTTTTTAGAAGGAATGTGAATAAGGTTTCTAAGTTTGACTCATGAAAAAAGGATTCCAGTATCATAATGGTCAAATTTTAAGTACACACCGAAAATGTAATAAAATGTATTACATTATAACTGGAAAGACAGTTTTTTGGACATACCACAACATAACTTGAATATAATGTTACTTTATTAGCTTAAAATTCTGGAATACCTGACTGACATCAGCCAGATGTCCGATTTGAAAATTATATATATATATATATATATATATATATCCTTTACGAAACCATCGGCCCGAACGCTTCATATTAGTCAAACTATAGATTGATTTGCTGACTTTTCAGTGGGTACTTAACCCTATTCAAAGAAATATAATGGATAAGGATCGCTGGATTCCACAAGGTAAAGAGAATTAGAATTACTAATTCCAACTTAGCGTTCCGAATGGTTATACTTTGTGCTGGATATGAAGGCTTAATGTTTGACGTTTTATAATGTGAAATGTATAAATCACTCAAGACTGGACTAGTAAGATAAAGTGGCGTTTGAAGAGCTGGGTTTCCGGTGGGTAGTTTGTAATAAAAGTCACTAACGGAATATACATCCTTTTATGTGAAACTACTTCGACTAAAAAAACTTTCTATTGATAATTAAAAGCTCATCAAACAACTCAATTGAAACATTTTCGTTAAATTAACAGCTAAAAGTATTTTTAAAGGTTATTATTTATATTTCCTCGGTTGGTAAACTGCCATAAAGGTGTTGAACTTGATATTCGTTCCAATAACTTAGTCTTAAAAATATCTGCACGACGTTATGCTCACTTGTTAAGGTATTTTTCACCATAAACTTGAACAGAAAACTCAGGAATTATAAACATGTTTTACATCTGATTCTCACATCAATTGAAATACACAGTAATTTTGGTCTTGAAAACTATCTTCAGTAAATGAATGTGTGAAACAGGTGTTTCTTATTAAAATATCAAGGACATGAATAGCGGTGATATAGTCAGATAACTTATAATGTTTAAGGAACAACAGTTACTCGAATGTTATTTAGAATATATATTATTAAGATGCATTGTTAGAATAGCTCACCAAAATTAAAGTATATTATATTATGTAGGATCACTGCCCAGTATATACTTTTTTCTCCCATGGAGAATGATGGCCAGAGGCTTATGCTCCTCTATGAGGGGTGACAGGCATAAGTATGTAAATAAGTACATAAGGCTAATATTGGTTAATTCTGGAATTACCTCGTGTCTTCTTAATCAGTTTCACTGTCCACCATTGTCTTCAGTGAGGTACTATCGCACAAGTGACCTGGTCGCACTCCACTAGTTACGGCTTCTTTCGTGGATTGGTTGAAGTTGGACATTAACACCGTTGGATACCGGCTCATTGGTCTGGAGGTTAAGCGTTCGCGCGCGAGACCGATGAGTCCAGGGTTCGAATCCATCACGAAGTCTCATACTAGGACGAATCGATTGTCCGGTGCTTCCAGGTTTTCCATGGTAGTCTAGCTTTAATTGACTCATGCATTCAACTATTAAATAAATTTTATTTGAATAACAGTGTTTTTTCTTCCTAGTATTATAAGAACAGATGGATAGTGGCTAGCAGTGGAATCCAGGACGCGCATCTCGTCCTACTTGGGACTCGTCAGCTGGATGTACCTACATCCTAGAATTGATGTTCACCCCGGCACTGTTCACTTCAAACGCCATTGCGTTCCCCACTTAGCTACTGAGTCCTGATAGCCATCAGCTTGTGCAATGGGGTGAAGTTTAAACTCACTTGGTGTTGTTTTACTTATATCTTCTCATTTTTATTTAGGACTGCGATTGATCAGTCTCATGTTGGCATATGTGCATCCTGTGCGGATTGCCTAGATATAGCCTTGAGTCACAAGCTACCTAATATTAATTATCAGTTATAAAAGTCATTGTTACATTTTCACCCTTCTATAATTATTTCTAATTAGATTGTAATATTCAACAACTGCGTTGTAATTATTTTCAGTTTTTTTAATGTTTTACATTTCTACTTCAAGAAAGTAGTGTCTTTTTTTTAGGTTGTTCATAGTTTAGTTGTCATGACAACAATACCTCACTCACAGTTTCGACTAGTTGAACAACACAGAAAAGAGTCCAAGTATACCATTAGAATAAATGATACTGTCATAGTTAACTGACACTCTATTATAATATTTTATCATTTTTTGTTTTAAATATAAATTGTTTATGAGATGGTGAAGATTTGTAGCTCAGCACAAACTGTTTGTGCTGATGATGTCGTTCAGAAGAACGATGAAAGCCCCACAATCAAACCATCCAGCTCAGAGAACAAAACTCCGCCAATATCAATTGCTTAATTTTATAAAAACAGTTTCTTTTTATTTTTTAAAATTTTTATTCAGAAAAACAATAACAATATGAAAATGATTATTGTATGATACTTAAGTTTAGTTTATTTAAATATTTCAAATTAAAGATTGTGATTTATAAGGTAAACGTTTATAGACTCATATGCGGTAACACCATAAAAGTACATCAAAAGTAGAAAGAAAAAAAATAACACACAATTTTTTTTTATTAGGAAACTTAGTTACAAGAAGAAGAAAAACAAAATGATCAATTCTGTAATTTTCAATAATCTGAAATTGAAATACAATAGGATATTAAAAAAGTTTATTATCGTCTGTTTACTTAAATGAAATTCATATTGTTCTATATGATAGTTGGATATTAAATAAATAATATTTGTTTACGTAATTGATCAGTTATTAGAAAAGTTAGAACGAATGAGATATGGTGTAAGTTTTCTTATTCGTATTAGCATAATGACAGGAGATAAATTTTATAATGATAACCAAATCGACTCATATTCAAGCTATGATAGTTATAATCCTAAACTAAGACAAGATTTTAGTTTTATTGAAAGCTTACACTCATCAAAAAATAAGAAGGTTAATCATATTACTTCTCTGTAATAATTACGTGTATGTGTAATAAAGAGAGGAAGGATGGAATCTTTATTGACTTAATGGTTGAATGTAAGTAATGGCAATATATCATAATGAGAATTGGAAGATAATACGACGAGATTATAATTTATGAACGAACTAATCAAATGTAAGATATCAGGTCTCGGATTTTGGTACGAAATTCACTCATCCATTTGTCTAAATAGAGTCTTGGCATTGTAGCTGATGTCAGTTCGTGATGAAAACTCTAAATCTAATTTCTAACCGTAACCATAATTCGAATTCCTCACACAGGTTTATAATACACACTTGGTTTTAGTTATTAAATGGACACTCAAAAGGTCGGTCTAACGTCACTCAAAGACCATCCATAAATTATAGCCTCACCAATAATATGTTTTATTATTCTAGGCAACTGAAATTATTTTAAAACAAATAACTATTTCGACTTTAATTGCTAAAATTGCAGATTCATTTAATGTATTTTCATCTTGTAGAACATTTGTCTTTGAAGAAACAAGATACGATCGTTTAAAAACATTAACTTATAGACATTAAATGTTCTGCGTATAGCACTGATATACCAAACAATATGTGTGAAACTTCATTCCATTCTAAAATAAAAGTGTGCTGTACTTAAAGGGACCTACTTGTTTATTTCATTATTTTGAATTTGCTTTAATATTATTATGCTTTATTACGTTATTTTTTTAAGAGGAAAAAACAAACTTACATGTAACATCCATTTAATGGAAGATGAGTTTGTAAAGTTTTAGGAAAGAGCAAAGTACCTGAAATAAAATTTTATTGATTTAACACATAAATTTCCCTGACTGAAATAAAAGATAAAATTTAACTAATAACAAATCAACAAATCAGAATATGATCACTGGAGAAGTAATGTGTATACACTACTGAAGATTCTTATGCTGTAGTGAATGAGAACACAAGTGGAGACAGTCCAATGTACTTGAACATAAAATTACAGAATCTCTTAGTAAAATCTGAGCACTTTGCAGTAAATACTTCATTTGTAAAATATCAGTCAATTGTCTCAGACTTCATTGTTTCTTCGCTTCCACACTTAACATTCTCTATTCTCATTCTCTTTTCTTCGATCTTTTTAACTTTCTGCCACCACGTATTCCACTTCCGATTGATGATACTTACTACTTATATCTATTGACATCAGTAGCATACACCACAACCAGGTCTGTTGTGAGACAGTAACTCACTGAAGACAATGGTGTACGGTGGCGCAACTTCGTGGATTGGTTGAAGTTAGACATTAACACCATTGCATGCCGGCTCAGTGGTCTAATGGTTGGGTGCTCGGGCGCGAAGCGAGCAGGTCCCGAGTTCGAGTACCACGGGATGCGGGATCGTGGATGCGCACTGCTGAGGAGTCCCATACTAGGACGAAACGGCCGTCCAGTGCTTCCAGGTTTTCCATGATGGTCTAGCTTCAATCGACTCCTGATTTCATTCTGTGAAATTTCTAAAATCTCCACAAATCCGTTCTGATAATTATATGTATCTGTTTGAAATAAACGGGCTTCATTTATGGGCTTAATAGCTACGTGTATTTAATCGTATACTGTTGTCCAATGAATCCTTAATATATTACTGGTAGGATAAGTGAAATTTTCTATGAAACATCTGCTGAAGTTTACTATTATTTTTCAAATGTTTTATGTTCTATTCAATGTAAATCAAATTACTAGAAGTCAATATAAATTAACCAACTCTTATGGAAACCATATTGATAACTGAAATGATAAACTTTTTACAATATAGTCTACTTTTAATTGTATGAGAGTTTATACTATTTGCTAATCATTGTTTCTACCCGCTTTTTTTTGAGGATGATAGTTGTGTATGAAGGTTTTCTAGCACACGGAAAAATGTTTTTCTGAAATAACTGACGAATTATAGTGCATGTATGCACATAACACTACACCGGTTACATTTTGGGTTTGAGATGGGTTTACTTATGGAATTCATCCCAATTATCATCAAATTACGTTCAATTTATTTCATATGAAGAATTTCTAACTATGCAGTTAAGTGGAACATTTCAGTTTTATTCAACGTTCAGTAAAATATATGAGGGTTTGAGTCTTACAATTGTTGATATTAGGAACTTATATATATCATTTTTTCTGAAATATGTGAATTTTATGTATACCATCATGATATTACCCATAATTACACAGTTTTAATATGTTTGGTTTTAGGTTAGCAGTAGAATGTGTGTTTCGTCTTATTCGTGATTCGAACCCAATAACTGTTAATTCAAATACCAATGCGCTATCCACCAAACTACATAATTCAGTTAGCCACTAACATGTTTGACCATTATGAATTTATATGTAAGAATTCAGATTTTCGTGCTGTTGATATTAAGAACTGTGACCGATCAGCCTTTTGATGAAAAATATGAAAGTCAGGTTTATTATTAAATGCAAAATTTATCAATATAAATAAGTATTTCATTAAACCATGAATACCACATTATCATTATCTTATATTTGTCCTTGATTCATAAGAAATTGTTATTAATTATATTGAGAAGTGCGATTTCTCTAAGATACTCATTTACGTATATGTTACAATGAATCTTTGAAATCTTATTATTAAGTCAAATTTACGTACTTATAATTCATTGAATAAATTACTGATAACTGTATACAAGAAATGTACACTGAACTCTCCTTCTGTAATTGTACCTCTATTATGTCTATACACAAATAAAAATTAAATCTAACATTATTCTCATTAGAAACATCAGATATAGTTTGTCAGTAAACTCGATGATGATATTGGTTTAAAACAGGATTACTTACATAACATGATTGATCTGCTCTATGTTGTTGAAAATACGTAACCGCATAATCTATATATTCTTGAAGAACTTTATTACACTAAAATTACATTGAATATTTAAAAAAATGTTTAAAAATGATTAGGTTACATTTAACTTTAAAAATATATATATATTAAAGATTCCTATACTAAAAATTGGGACAACACGTATATAGGTGAACCATATTGTTTTCAGTTGGATCATTATGAGGCGTTACTCCAGAATAAATGAATTTTTATATGAAAATCTTAAAATATTTGAATTCATGAGTCAATGTAAGTTAAACCAACACTGAAAACATGGAAGTACTGAACGGCCGTTTTTTCTAAGTATGGGACTCCTCATAAATTTAACTATTAAATTTACTACAATCTCCATAAACTCTCATTCTGTTAATAATTTTAAAATAATCTAGGGAATTTATGAGTAAATGACCATAATGAAATAGATTGTATAACTGCATATAATTTGTAAAAATAAAACTTGATAATAAGTAGACAGGTGTACTAGCTGTGATCAGAATAATGAAATAGTTGTAATCGGTAGTTCAACATAAGAAGTAGGGCAAATATGGATAAACAGACTTTAGATCAGTAAACACAAAACATCATTAAAATTACGTAATAAGTGTGTAAATGATTAGAGATTGGAGAAATAATATTGACAGATAATTCCCATTTAAACATTAAAATTAAAACACGAATTTCAGCGAAGGGATCTCTTTTCAACGAATTTATTATCAAGCTGTACAATCGTATATATATGAAAATTTTTGTAAAAGTACTAATTCCGTGAGGAAATGTGGACACAGTTATTAAAAAGGTTATAATACTAGATTACGTAATATGAATAATAACAATAACAATAGAATTGGTGAATATAATAAGATGATTAAAATGATTAAAATGTTTTTGATATAATAATTAAAGGTCATAGAGGTGTACAAAAATAAACTGATATGATGAGCGTTCATGAATAAAACAATGAGAATATAAGACATAAGTAAAGAGGGGAATGCAGTAATAATAATAATAATAATAATAATAATAATAATTGGATAATCAAAATGCTTAAGGCCAAGGTAACGATAACGATAAGACGTACTTCTTTTGTACACATAGTTCTGGTTTAAGCTCCTGGATGGTAAGAGCTTCGGCTATTTTTAAAAGTTGGATGCGAAGAAATCTGGGTAGATTTGAACGAATCATGTAAACAACCTTAAATTCATTTTTTGGATCTGTGGAATGGTTACAGTCGATTAAGTGTTCAAGTATAGAACTCCTAACTGCTTTCCTTTCCCCCTTATAGAACCGAGCAGGAATATGTTCCCGTATCCGGGTTGAAAGCGAGCGCTGGCTACGGCCAATGTACAAACAAACGCAGGATGTAAAAACTTAATATAATCGTTCATTACGTCATATCTAGCCAGGTACAGGGGTGCTACGAATTTTTTTTGAACACATAAACTAGATCGTGGGAAAGATTTGTAGCTCAGGTGGATGACTTTGGTGAAATTTCCATCTCTAAGCTAGATTATTTGTTCACGGAACCTTCTTTGTTCTTCCGAACGACATCATCAACACAAACTTCAGATAGAAGGGAAGTGTTCAGATTTCTTCACATATGACACACAGTTTGTCCTGTTGACCCCCATCTAGGTTGATTATTGTTGACTTTTAACCTGTCCCTGTCTATTTCATTTTTGACTATATCTCCCTTCGATTTGATTCTTGGTCTTATATTTGCTCATGATTTTTCTGATTGATTGATAGATGGGATCGATTTTGATGTGACAAGCTTGTAAAATTTTCTGATGTTCTTAGTATTCTCTCATCCAAGATCTAAACATTTTTCCAGTCATATTTGTGCCCGCAGTTGTCCACATGCATTGATATAAGTGAAAATATGTCATAGCGTTTGACCGTTAATTGATAATCATGATTGCGGAAAACACTACTTTGGACTACACTTCATCTTCGTCTGTATATATATTAGTGTAAAGCCATGAAAAAAGCTAACTGGAAGGAAATAATTGTTTTATCCATTTTTATACAGAATGTCTGAATGGAAACTTTTATAAATCAGTTAGTTAAAACATAAACTTACTTTTGATTCGTCTGAAGCATAAAGTAAACATATCACTTTCAGTGAAGATTTCATTTGTTTAGTTTCTGTGTGATCAGTAAAAATACTTTGTATTCTACTATAAACAAATTTACATTCTTCACACAATATACTATCTCCTGAAAATAAAATACCAACTATTTATTTTCGATATTTTGGGGCACTTTAAATAGTATTTAAACGAAAAACATGTAATGTAATGTAAAATATGAAACTAGCTAAATCGACTTCCAAGTGTATAGTAAAATGCATTATACCATTCATTTCCATATGAACAATATAGTGTTGACAGGAATAATAAAAGGATAGCCTGATATTTGAAAGATAAATTAGGGATTCACAAACATAACGGATAAACATTATTCTTACGTCCATTTCCTTATTTCTCTTCAACTTAGATTTTCAAATATTTATTTAGTGATATAGTAGTAAGATTAAGGTAACTGAATAATCTGTATTAACTAGACAATAAATTTTTATTGTCATTTCGTATAAAACTTGAAAAACTGAAGTTTATTGCTGTCACTGAAGATTCATTTTATTTACTTTTACATAATTCAGATTCTTGTTTTTGATGATTTTTGATATAAAAAATATTTTAATGATTTCTTATAGTATCCTCGTGTAGATTTATTGAATTCTCAGTGACTTAATATTTGAGATATTTAAAATGTCATCATACTGATAGATTAATGAAACTGATTATTTAAAATTATTCTGTTCATAGAAACAAAAATATTTGATCATTTGTATTCCAACAGTTGAGATCATGAGTCAATTGAAGCTAGACCACCACGGAAAACCTGGAAGCACTGGACGACCGTTTTAGTCTTGTTGTGGGACTCCTCAGCAGTGCGCATCCACGACCTCGTCTCGCGAGATTCGGACCCAGGATATATCAGTCTTGCGTCAGGCATTTAACCAACCAGACCACCGAGGCGGCATCCAACGGTGTTAATGTCTAACTTCAACCAATTAACAAAATCGAGCGACACATCCACCATTGTCATCAGTGAATTACTACCTCACAACTGACCCGGTTGAACTCCACTGGTCACTGCTTCTCACTAGAATTCCAAGATATATCACTTGAAGCCAGTTACTATTGTATTCCATTTATTCATTTAAATTGTTAAGATAATTTACTACTTTGACTACCTATTTGATTTGCATTAATTAAACAGCATTTATTAAGGGTCCATAAATGAAAACAAATTTTCATTTTTTAAAAATAAATACTATTCTATAAGTAATAAATAAATAATATATTTGTAATATCCCAATGAGTAGAAAAATTGGATTTTCTGACGTTTCGTGACTTAGTGTATGCCACTTCTTCAGAGATTAAATAACCAAATTAGAATTGATTTAAGTTTCTATTGAGAGAAGAAGGCCTTACCGTACATCCTACTTGGACTACCTATCCTAGCCACCTAGTCTGATACTATTTACAATTCGCACCATTAACTTACAAATTAAACACTATCCTTTCTCACCATAAAGGTCATACGATTTTCATCCTTAACAGTGTACACATACATACACACAAATTTACATACACGTCGTTCATGAATCAATTTGGCCGAAATGACAGGACACTGATTTATTCAGACCCGTTTTTTGATTGATCACATAGTATTCTTGTTGTTCCGTTATACTATTTAAACTTGGATTAATTTTATTTGGTTATTTAATCTCTGAAGAAGTCACGAAACATCAGAAAATCCGTTTTTTCTACTCATTGGGATATTACAAATATATTATATATTTATAACAATCTACCCAATGCTCAATTTATTCGAAATTGTCAAATCAAACCTTGGTAATGATACCTACATATTCTGTAAGTGGGAAAGATTATCCATTATTTAGGATCAAACTTCAGTATTTACGAAATATGTAAAGATACTATACTTTTGTACTAATTAGATAACGCAATATGATAAATGGAGATTAAAATAAAACTTGAAATTATATCAGCCATACAATTTTTTAAATGGAGAGTGCTGGTAGGCAGCCTATACTTATCCACTAGGGGTAACAAACGTAAGTAATACAATTGTTTTTATCAACAAAATCACGTAATTAATTATGTAAATTATTTGTTATTATCTATTCATTTAATCTAAATGGATTTATATTTCAAAATGAATCAGGTATTCGTTTGTTGATCCTCGAAGCTTATTCATGTAATTAAATGACTTTAACGAACCTTCATAACGGCAATTAAAAAAAGAACTACGTTAGATGTTTAAATAAAATTATTTCTATGTTCATTATCATCGTGAACATAACGTGATATTGTTCAGTTCGTTAATTTTAGTATTTAAAGTGACTGATTCTTCATCCATCGAGCATATGTCAACAGTTTTTTAATCAAACTATAATTATATTAAACTGTCTAAGAAGTCAGTAAGTTAGGAAAAAAATATATCAGTATCAATTTTGCTACTATATATGTATTAGCTGCATAATAGTAGTTTAAAAAAATCACTATTCTCTATTGTAACAACTACGAAATATTAGTATTTGATAAAACTATCTGGCCTGCTTCGGTTTGGGCACCCGGGCAGTATCACAGCCCTTACACATATCGAATGAGATCTGTGTGGCGCATATGTACTTGATACCTCCTTGAACCAATATCTATGTGTTAAAATAAATAAATAAATAAATAAGCTATCAGGGCATTACACTACTATCAATATTCTAACGTACAAAGTGAACAAATGAGGAATTTAATTTATCTTCCTACCTAAATTGTTTTACATGTGGGACCCGTAATTTTGTCGTCATTTAGATCGGACGATGTTTGTTGACGCGGTCTTCACTTTAGTGGCCCGTGGATCTGACTCCGATTAGATCGTATGAATACTTGTTATCGCCTATTTTTGTATATAAACATCGACTTTAATCGCGTTAGTCAATAACGGATTTAGATAAGTCAAATAACGAGGAATGGACTTTTGAATACATATATTTTGTATATGAAGCGAATGGAATAGAGAGAAGAGAAACGACGCAGAGTGGAGATGGCGGGTAAGCCAACTCCCATCTAACCAAGCGTTAATCAATATTTATAGTTACACAAAAGTAAGTTACATACATTTGATGGGTAATGCGATTAGAAATATACACACACCTACGCTCTCTTATAAAAACAGTCAAGATTGATAAGCGAATAAATAACAAGGTCAGAATGTGACTCAAGTAGAATGAATGAAATGGTCTGTCTGAAACCTAGAATAAGGTGTATGGGCTTAACATAATAACCGACACTACATACATAGTGAATAATGATAATCAGACATGCTGAACATTCATTAAAATTAATATATTAATCTTAATTACTCTATAGTAACGATTTTTGTAAATGTGTCTTCTGTGATATGTCAATAATGGAGAATATTCTCATCATGTTAAACATTAGGTTAAAATATAAACAAGGACCTGTGAAAATTATAATTTTAAGTATTTTAATCATTCAATTAAAATTGTTTACAAGTTTCCATCTTAACTCCAGTTCAAATGTCTTCCAAAAAAATATAGTAAAAACGATTAAAATGACTAGTGATTTCATCAAGAATATTCTTCAGTAGACTATCAGATAAATCGGCGAGACTATAATTTATGGACGAACCAATCAGGTTTACGACAAGAGGTCTTTGATTTCGGCGCGAAATATTTCTTCTATTTGGTTAAATAGCATGTCTTGGTACTTTTTCTGGTGTCAGTTCGTGATAAAAACCTTAAATTTAATCCCTATCCCTAACCATCAACTGTAAATCACAATCCTTATCATTTATACAGGTTTAAGACTCTCATTTAGCCCTAGTCAATAGATGGACCACTTTAAGGTCACTTTAGTGTCGCTCAAAGGTTGTCCATAAATTATGGTCTCAACGGTAAATCATTTGAATTATATTTTTCTAGGTAACTGTAGAACTATTTAAATTCAAAATAATGAATTTAGATTTTGATAACATTAAGAAATAATTAGATGAATGAATATGTCAGCGTATTAAAAGACTTCATCTTATATAATTCTACTTACCGATGTTTCGATTAGTTAAAGAATTCGTATTATTTGTACAAGCTTGTAATGCCTGTCAAAAAGAAAATATTTTTTCGGTGGTACATATGTTTAAAATTTAAGTGTTAAATATATAAACATTCATGAAGACACTTAAAACATACCGAATAAACATAGAATTCGAATATGTAAAAATAGCACATATAATACTAAGCTCATTACTTAGTAGTTTAGTGAATAAGACGACAATATTTGAATACATTGAATCTAGTCTACTTGAGAGCACCAACATATGAATACTAACACATCAAGTCATTAACGATCAACTAGATTAAAACGAACAATTGAAGTTAAAATATCATCAATCTGTAAATAGGGTCAACATTAAAGTCCATATGGCTGCACAGAATGATTAATTTAAGTTTTAATGTTTATAACTGGAAAATAATACCATATGTTAAAGATAATTATAAATTATGAATTCATTCAGTTTTATGGAGTTTTGTTCTTTCAGCTGATGGGTTTGCTTTAGCTCAGAGAACAAAACTCCATCAAAATCAGCCATCTGAGCTACAAATCGTCTCCACCATTCAGTTTTATAAAAAAAACGTCTCATCTGTTGAATATGTTTTAACGACGGATAATGTGACCAATTACAGAAAAATGATTACCATTATTTCTCAATTTATTTTTGAACGAACATGAATTTTCTGACCATACTAAAATCATACGATTCACTGGCTAAAAATTATTTCCATCGTATTTAAATTTCAAATGAGTTTTAGTTAGATCAGTATTGTACCCTGGAAGAACTATACACTTGTCTTGTCTTAACTTGGGACTCCTCAGTAAAGTGCATTCAAACTATGTTGATAACATTCATTTACTCATTAATGATGGGCCTCACGATATAATTCCTGGAGTTCTAGTCAGCATCGGTGACCAGTGGAGTTCAGCGGTATCTGGTGTAAGACATTCATCAACCTCAGACAATTGGTGGGGTTTATGAAGTATAGTGAGTGGATTGAAGTTAATGTCAGTCCAGCTTTCTAGAAACTGATCGTTCGCGGCAAGTCCGAAGATTCAGAGTTGGATTCCCAGGTGCGAGATCATTTGATGTGCACTTCTGGGTAGTTTCTTATTAGAATGAATTGCCTGTCGAGTGCTTTCAGGTTTTTAAGTGTTGTCTAACTAAGACCTGTTTGCGATACAAATACATTGAAAATTCTATTATTTACACAAACCACCATAGTGATGAAAATTACTTGTCTTCTGGTTTCATTATTAATGTTCATAGTTGTGAAAACGAGAATAATACACGATACAGTTATACAGAATCGTTTTACCACACAAAATTCTAAACCATGAACTACTGGAAAATTTTTGATGCAAATGGAGAGACTAACGATATATATTTAAAAAGGCTAAAATATATGCAAGATATTAAAAAATAATTACCTTGCAAATGTAATCAGGATTCACTGCTGTAGCCAGTATGTTCAAAGTATTATTAAGGTAATTATTCACATATTTCAGGCACTTGGATGAATTTAAAAAATAAAAAATAAATGAGTGATATATTCTTTCAGACTGAAACAACTTGAATATAGTGATTCTAGAAGCTGACTGTTTTTACTGAACTTTCACTGTTGTGGTTATTGTTAATTAGCAAATTACAATGCTTACTAAGATACTTTCGATACGTAAGAAATTAGTCCGTCGAATATACATTATAGAAATTAAGTTTCAAAAAAGTATGTTTTTGCTAAACAGTTTATTCTACTAAAAATTATAAAATTAGAACTGATCAGATGAATGAAATTAGTTTATACCATTTGAAAATTACCAATCAACTTAATTCATTTTGCATCGATTGTTTAAATGTTCCCGCTGATGTTTAGTTATGCAATTAATTAGTCGCTTATTGGCCTATATAGATCCTCTACGACAGCCCCGAGATTGATTTTAGTCACAAGCATTATAAACAGAGATGAATGATGGCTAGCAATGAAATCCAGGACGTGCGGTTCGTCCTATTCAGACTCGTCAGATAAATATATTTACATCTCAGATTCGATGTTCACCCTGGGACTTGAAACCAGTATCGTTCGCTTCAAACTGCATCACCTTACTCACTTACATACTGAGTTTCAAACAACCAATATGAAATGATTTCAAACTTCACCCCATTGCACAACATAGTGGTTATTTGGACTCAGTAGCTAAGTGAACAATGTGATGGAGTTTGAAGTGAACGATACTGGGTTCGAGTCCCAGAGTGAATATCAACTCTGGGATGCAGGTACATCCAGCTGACGAGTCCCAAATAGGACGAAACACACGTCTTGGATTCCACTGCTAGCCACTATCCATCACTGCTTATAATCAACTTTAACATTTTAATGGAAGTTTTATGAGTATTCATTATCATTCGACCCATCTGACTACTAATCTTAATTACTGTTTATTTATTACAAATTATGTAATTCATATAAGATTTAGATTTCCATCAGTCATTAAATATATATATATATATAATAAAATAGAAGGACTCTCAAACGCTGTGCGCTTAATCAAATCGATTCTCTAAATGCATATATTACCAAGATGTTACAAAATGTCAACGAGAGAATTTACGTGGTAGGAGAGCTCTCTGATAAATTAAGAGAACAATATCTGGACTATGTTAGGATGGCTGTTAATATATATTAGTTTAAAACCATGATGAAAAACTAATTGCGAAGGAAATTTCTTCGCTCGATTCGTTCCCTCTTTATTTACCAAATGTCAAAAGGGGAATGTACATTTGCTTATAATCATTATATTATTTTAAGGATAAAATTTTTATAAAACATCAATAGGAATGATACATAACAAATAATTTATCTTTCAGATAAATACTCTTTGTCTTATAATAAAAAAGGGATAATTGTTTCATGTTCAAATTTTTTGTTACTTACAGTGTTTCTTAGACTTTCTGATGGAATAGACTGACATAATTGTTGTGCTGCAATCATATAAATCTCTACCCAATAATTTTCTGAAAGAATGTAGTGAACCAAATTCATCCCTGCTAAGCATGTATCACATTCAGCTAAAAAATATAGTAATATCATTCAAATAGACGAGATTGTTTGGTCACTAAGATGATAACTTCAAAAATGATCTAATATTTATACTTTTAGTATTTATCAAAAGAGTTGATCGTGAATTTAATACAGATGTTCAGCACTTACTTTTTATCTATATTTTGTATACATATGACTGAGTATCAAAATTAAAAATGTATCCACAACTTGTTCGATGGGAAAATAGCTTAAGTTTAAGTTTTGTGTAATATTAATCCTTAAATATAACACGATAAACTAGAATATATTCTTGACCAATTTTGACTATAGAAGTAATCTGATTCCGGTTAAAATATTGGCAAAACAATTAACATTGTCATTTTATTAATTCTGATGCATGGGGGCAGTTACATTCAAATAATTTCTAGGTTCTTTCGTAACTTATTCATTCTTCCTAGATCATGCATCTAAAGATCCAATACTTCATATTAATACGCTGAGAGATGTATACTAGAAACGAATTCAAGGAACCTTTTGATAAGACGAAAATTCCCCCATCAGTTTCTATCAATTTATTTTTATAAAGACTAGTTCCCAGTATCTATTTAGATTTCATTTGTTCGCTTATGTTACATTATTCAAATTAGTACCTGAATATAGTTTAACCAATATGCTTATTGAGCATTTATGGGACACCGAATAAAGTAGTTTACATCATATCTTTTAAATTGGTTACTAAACCCGGAAGTAATTTATGGGTCAGATGTTTTCTTGAAAACATTATGGTAATATATTTATGCTAAAAGAAGTCAATGAAGTGTTATATGTGTGGTAAAAAGAAATTATTGTTCATGGTTTATAGCTAAGTAGAAATGACTAAATTAGTGTATAATTGTTAATTGAGGGTTGAGCGCGGATTTTTCGTTTGTCAGTCTTAGTTAAACTGTACAGTTGAATGATAAAAAACATAGTTATGAATTTAAAATAATAAAATACTTTTGAATTTAGGGAGATACTGAAAATTGTATCTATGTTGTAGGAGGTTTGAAGTATAGGTGAATATTTCCATCGTTGCTTATTAATGCTGTTTACTTAAGCAAGACGCTGACGACATTATTCAGATTGATAGTAAAAAAATTGAAATTAAACCATCCATTATGTCCGTATAGCGCTTTGAAAATCATATTTTGGGATAGAATGATGGTTGCAGATAGTCAACAGGAAACCCTGGACCCAGGTTTCGTGCTATTTGGCACTCGTCAGCAAGGTGTACCTGTAATGTTTAGGGAATTGGCGCTCCCTGACGATTCAGATCCCTTGTCATCCAGCCTTACAGTCAGAAGTGTTACCACTGAGCTATACGGGTCGCGACTGATCTCTTGTAGAACTGAGTTTAATTCACAAATGGTTGATCACTGAGTGTTGATCAGTGTCATGTGTGTCAAGTTCTTCTTAGTGCAGATCGAATGCTATCGACCAAGTTGCAATATGGCCATTATTCTAGGTGACTCGACGTTGCGTGCACTTGGTCGACAGCATTCAATCTGCACTAAGAAGGACTTGACACACATGACATTGATCACCACCCAGTGATCAAACAATTGTGAAAATCATATTTCCTATTTTCTTATTGTTAAGGTTCATTAATATGATAAATTACTTCTATTTCAAATGTACTTTACATATAGTTTTTCCGTAATTGTCATAATAAAAAAAATCAACAATGAGAATGGTATTTTAAAATTAAAATTGTCAATACAAATTGGATTGAATATTTGTACAACTGATTTTCTCTCCGGTTTCTTATATTGTTATTACATTTATTGCTCATACATTTTCTTAAAATATCCTGGGAAATGATGTTGTATATACAAAAGTGGGGAGAATTCGTATATAAAAAATATATTGACATAACACATAGCAATCAGATTTGAATTGTGCTTTAGAATGCGATCACCATTTGTTTTCTTAGTGGTAATGCAATAATTGTTTCAGAAGCTTCAATCTTGAATGGTTATCTTCAATTAATCATTCATAGGTCAATTATGCAAACTATTATTTTCACAGTTTTGATACATTTTTTTAAGTTTTATACTTTACAGAACCTATGATAGATATGATATTCATTTAGTGTGCTACTCTTAAAATTGTCAATTAACTACTTGTATTTTAAGTAATTACTAATGGAATGTTAATGACATATTGGAAGTGATGGAATGTAAAAATGAGCTCATTAGATTTAAAAACGTTGAGATTGTCAATCAAAGTTAAAGTCTTTTACTTTCGCCTATTAAAAATTATCTGGTTTATAACTCTCAAATGGTTGATTTTCGGACAGTAACTTCGATATAAGGCAAATGTTATATGTATATATATAATTTAATCACCAGAAACAGGACATACCTAATGTTGAATTGTCATCAATATTTCTCTTGGCAACTAAATTCTGTGTAAAGAAATAACACAATGAGACATAAATCTTCAACATTTCAACAAATAGTTGTTTTGTTTATTTGAATATTTGGTAAGTTCTACAATAAAATTACGTGTGTAATGGTTTTTTCCAACAGATACTTGAAGGCATAGTTTATATCAGATATATCATTGAAAATAAATTGTATACTGCATTATCTTACGTTAAAAGATGCATTACTGATGTAAAGAGTAATGTTGGTGGCGTGAAATCTCCTTTAAAATATCATCTTTTCCTACTAAGTGTTAAGCTTAATAATTGATGTTAATCAATTCGTGTAGCTAGTATTCATCTTTTGTTCTAACCTACCTTAGATGTATACACTGTCTCCATCAAGAAAAGAAAGACTTGGTTATTCAGTTATTCATGCTTTCTTTGAATCAAAGAATGTGCTAGTTAATTAGTCATTGTAAGAATAAAAACTAAATGAAATAATATTACAGAAATTGTGACATATTTACAAATTTGTAATGGTAGTAAAAGCATCGTACTAAAATTTATTGTATACGATTGATTTATTCTCACTTGATAAAACCTTAATTCCTAATTCAACTTATTTATTTTATCTCTTCGCCTAGACATTTAATGTTCATATTATCGTTATTATTTTCATGCTTATTATTCCACTTTTATAATACTTACCTTGTACCATATTCAGATAGATATACTATTGTGTTAAAGTCACATTAGTCTTTCTCATTTTCTGTGATAGCTTAAACCAATTATTTAGTTGTTGTTCAAATTTATTAAACAGATCAATCAGTGATTATTTACCGTCATTTTTAAGTTGTACATTTTGCTATGGAAATATAAGTAAATAGGTATATATTTGGATAGAAATAGTAGCTGTATAAAATGTAAAATAGTAGAATCTTGGCTCATTATTTAAGAATAAGTTGACTGTATAAAATAACTCCTGCACGAAATCGTCATGATTCAAGAGAAATAACCACTCTCAGTACCTTGATTTCATCTGGTGAAGTGTACATCTTACATTGACTATTGTAATAATTGATTACATAAAGAAAATGAGATTAGTGCTGCGATTACATAACACACAATGATTATATATATTTAAAACAATTAGTCCCTTTGATAAATTTCGATAATGCAATGAGAAGACGTAGTTTAATTTTCATATATAAATGTTCTTAACAAGTATATGTGTGATCAGATTGTTCAAAATGTATTGCGCAAATATATCACATAATTCTGATAAACTACGTCTTCTCATTGCATTATCGAGCTTATATATATATAAGTGAAATATATTACTTACTATTTTGTTTGATTCAACTGAAAAAATCGCAGTTTGTACAACCAACAATAAAATTAAGACAGAATGAATCATGATGGAATCGGTTCAGTTACTAAATGTAAAACCTATTGTATGTATCAAAATTATGAAGTAAATTTAATTAATTTTTTGTTCATTTATATTCACCTTCTATTGTAGACTTCAACATTTTAAATCTCAATTATTTCAAGTGATTAGATGAATATTCAAAGAGAAGCAAAGTAGAGCAAAGTACACCTTGGAAAATTACTAGTATTAAAACTTAGAGTTTGATCTTTAGTTATCATAGTTAATTTTTTGCTCATTCACTTTGCATCAATATTAGCAAACATTTCTGCGTGTATTCACTATTCAAACATATCAACAGTAAATGAAGTAGTATATATTTAAGAAATGAATAAGCATACGGAAACATTCATTTTTATTTGGAATCGCCATTTTTGTGATTACTCGACATTTATTCTTACAATTTGTCGATTCCTACATATTACCTATTATTCCTTACTGTTCTCCATTGTTCTTTCCCGACTTTTTGAAAAAAGGCTTTATTGTATTGCAGAGAGTGCTGAAGGCAGTTAGCAAGGTGTATGGTGAATCTTTTGAGATCATCATTATGGTTGTGGATAGACATCTAAAGTCTTGCAAACTCCTGACACGTGTTATCAGATACTAACCATCTCCCCATTCATATCTTTCTCGTTGTATATCTTCTGGTAGAACGAGAGGTCAATACATTAAAATTGATGCACGGAAGCAAAGGTATAAAAGTTCTATAATACCTTACCTAGCAAATATACTCCTTGAAGAACAGGTTGTGAGAGTTGAATTAGTCAATAACCTGTACTCTTAAACACGTTTCTAGGTGAAAAGTTGTACATATTCAGATCTTTCTTTCACCTTTTTCTCTTTTTGTTTTTGTAGAAGAAACTTCTTGAAATACCTCGTGCTGAGAATTTTATATTGTACCAAAATATAATATTCAATAAAGCTGTTATTAATAATAATATTTTCTTTTCTATGGTTTAAATTTACACCAGAATTTTGATAATGAATGAATATTGTTTGAGTGATAAATGTCCTCATGGTGTTTCATAATGCTAGATATTAAAAATAAGGCACTGATACTAAATGTACTGGCATCAAAATTCATTATGTTGACTTTTAAACTAAATAAACGGTTGATTGTAGATGAGTCTATTGCAGTAGGAGTTTCATAAGACGTTAATTTTGAATGGTTGCCCTTTCGAAACGTTAATCAATCAGTAGAATTGTAATGAAAAAATATTCAGTAGTAGATTATTTAAGAAAAGGACGAACGAATTCTCGTAAATCAAATTTACTGACATTAATGAGGAAAGTAAGGATAAACAAGATTAGCAATGAGTTACTTTTCATAATGTAACTTATGCTAATCACCTAACCTTGAGATAACCTAGTCGGAATCTCACTACCGATGTTTCTAAATTTAATCGATTCATAATTTTTCACGACCATCATTTATTGCTGTTAGTTGGACAAGAGAGATGCGCTTTGTTTCTTGGGTTTAAGTTGTTATCTGGCTGCAATAAATTAGTGTTTTAGACCGTAGAATTTTAATGTCTAGCTAATTAAAATAAATTCTTGGTATAGCTGCTTATTTCCGAAATGAAATGCAAACAGTATAAAATTAATTCACTTGCTGTTGTTTTACTTGTATCTTCTCATTGTTATTTAGGACTGCAATTGATCAGTCTGTCAGTGGCATATGTGCATACTGTGCGTATTGCCTCGATATTACCTTAATTCACAAATCTTCTGCCCCCAAATGCCCTAGTACGGCAGAGAGGCAGAGGCTATATACGCGTGGCCATGTGAGAACATTTCGAGAGGGAAAGCGGACTCTCCCCACTCTCGGCCGTACCAGGGCATTTGGGGGCCCACGTACCACCTATAAAACATGTTAATGACGTGCGAGTATAGATGATACGTCGGCATTTTGGTATCTGAAATTATTAATAATACGTCGAGATTTGACATTTATAAAAATGAAAGATACCTTAAAAATCATTAAAAGGCAATCAATTAGAATAAATGGCTTAGTAGCTGATCCACTTGGGTTTCAAACAAAATTTCTCAAAGTTAAATGGTGCCTCCTCTACTTTAGTCTAAGCATCCAGATAGTATTACTAGTTATTGAACAAAAAGTGTACGGCTGAAGTTGGGTAAATAAGCTTGCATTCGGTAGATGAGATGGGTTATTTGAAACGGTAGTGGAAAATATGAGAAACCCAACCAAAATGGGACTTAACAGACAAATAAATTGCTAAGAAACGATGTCCTTCCTAAGTATACAACAAATAACATAGGTGACAATGATACAAAGCAAATTTCTAAAAAATCAACGTAAATACCACCAATATAAACTCACCAATAACTTTCGTTTGAATGTTGGCTAGATAAAATAATGGTGCTACTTGGTGAGTATATATTTGCTGTGCTTTCTTTGCTCCGCTTAAAGGATTGATGAAAACCAACAAATTGCGTGGACGTGAAGGATCTGCATTAAAAGAAGTTTTATTTATTAGCGCATCCAGTCAGTCAGTCAGTAACAACGTAGAACTTCATACGTACGTACATCAGTTCGAGTTGCCACACCACATTAGCATAGAGATGCAGCTGTCGATTCAAATCCCGTAGGAGTTGAAGTAGTAAGAGTATAAGCAGTAATCGGAAAGATTAGGGTTTGTAGATGTTATTTAAACAGTATAATCCAGTGAAATAAATTTGGAAAGAGGAAAAAAGGGACATGAATTATTTAGAAAATTAGAATTTGGGAGAACACAAAAAGTGGATGCACCTGCGCCATTGCAAACGATTTTGAGCCATGTCATTCAAGGTCTCTTAAAATCGGTTGCTATCATTTTGCGGATCCCAACCAGATAGTCTACACCTACCAACATGGCTCAGTTCACGTGTCAGTGAATTCATGGGACTTTATTTTCTTATGTTGCTCCATTGCCATGTGGATTAGACCTTTGGGTTGAAGGCTCGTAGTGTGGCCGCCTGAGAAAACCACCTGCTTCGGTTTTAGCACCCGAGCAGTATCCAAGCTCTCACATAAATCGAATGATTTATGTGGTGCATATCTGTTTGGTGCCTCCCTAAACCAATGTTTGTGTGTTTAGATAAATAACTAAATAAATAAACACAAGTATTCTAAGCAAAGATGGATAGTGGCTAGCCGTGGCATAGTGGACCCCATTGCACAAGCAAATGCCTATCTGGACTCAGTAGCTTAGTGGATCACGCGATAGCGCTTGAAGCGAACGGTAGTGACTTCGAGTTCCAGAGTGAATATGAATTCTGAGATGCAGGTACATCCATCTTACGAGTTCTGAATAGGACGAAACGCGCATCCTGGATTCCATTGCTAGCCAATATACATCTTTGCTTAGATCCATCTAACGGTGAACAAGACGTATCAAGTAAAACATATTATGTAGTGCAGTGTAAAATGAAAAAAAATTGGTAGTATTGTGGTGTGAACTGCTTATATTGATATTAGTAGTATATGTCCCGAGTTAAAACGTAATATCTGGCAGCAGAAGATGAGGTGAAGATCAAGAAGAGAAGCGCGAGAGCACAATGGAATTTGTAGGAAAACGCATGTACAATGGATTAGTGTTTGCAACGGAACCAGTCCAGTTTGATATGATGCATTGATATTTTGCAAATTAACGATTGACTTTATGGTATTCAGATTTTATTGAAATAGTCTGTAATTTTTGTGTTAAATACATTCGATTCAATAGCATACTGCGTTATATACTGAAAATCAGTATGCTCAAAAATTTCAAACAGTATTTTAATTGTTACCGAATTTATGAGTCGATTAAAACCAGATCACCATAAGAAACTTGGGAACACTGGACGGCCGTTTCGCCCTAGTATGGGACTCCTCAGTAGTTCACATTCATGATTCAGTAATACTGAGGAGTTCCACAGTAGGACGAAACGGCCGTCCAGTGCTTTCAGGTTATCCATGGTTATCTAGCTTTAGTCTCCACAAAACCCCATTCTGATATTATCGAATTAATAGTAATATTGAAATTTGAATATGACATTTTCAACTTTAATACAACTATATTAAAGTGAAGCGCCATTTCAACCCAGATCGTAAAAATTATTTATTAATCATCATTAAAAAACTACATTGTAGCATAATGATCTATTTTGTATATGACTAAATATTAGTTTGGTTTAATTTGTGCTTTAATTATTACAAGTTGATGATATGATATCTTTAGAATAAAAATAAGTTATTTTTTCCAGTAGAGGTGAATATGGCATATATACCAAAAAGAGATCAGTTGTAGACATCGATAGAAAGAACTAATCAACCATTATATAGGAATGAAAATTTTTAAAAAATTATTGTTTATCATTAATGTTATTAAGTCAAATTAGAACAAAGATCATTGTTTTTATTATTTGATTCTTATGGTACAATTATGCATTTTATTTTGAAAAATGAGTTAGAGAATGCTAGTCGGTGGCCTATACTCCATTGGATGTAACAGGTATAAGTAAGTAAAGTAAATAATTAATATCTTAAGCTGATTTTCTAAAGCACATTGCTAAATATTATGAAATTATCATGATAATTCTTTTTCTTTTCAATGAGGTTTTCTGATCAAGCATAGTCCGCGATAAAAACCAAAAAATAAGAAATAAAAAACAAAAAAATGTCCTTATATCTATAATATTAAATAGTAATTTATTGAGCTGTTATAAACAGTTAAATATCTATGATTTATGAAAAAATAAATTGCTAACCATATTAGTACTTTGTAACTATCATCAAATAAATTACATAACTATACATGTTTAGATAAATTAAGTACAATAGAATATTGAAATACATGAACTGTTATTTATCTACTTATATGACCTTTAATCGAATAATTAAAAACGCAAAAACAAAAGTTTTGAAAATACATTTTATTTTGAACAAACTGCACAATCATTGTCTCTTGAAGAAATTGTGTCATTCATATACTTATATGCATATATAC